CACCTATATGGGCGGCCCTCTTGATTGGACGAGCACGCGGGAGAAACCTGTTAGCCGCAGTGTTTGCGAATCCGAAATCAAGGCTATGGACGAAGGCGTCAAAATGATTCTGGCTCTCCGTCACCTTTTTGACGATCTCGGCGTCTCCCATCTTGCCGAACCCACTCCCGTCATGTACTGTGATAACCAGGGGGGTATTTCCTGGGCACAGTCCGAGGCTGTCACCAAACGCCTCCGTCACCACAATCTCCGAGAGGTGGCCGTGCGCGATTCTCTCCGCCTTGGGGAAATCTCGCTCCATCACATCCCCGGTATTCTCAATCCTTCGGATCTCTTCACCAAGGAAATGAAGGATAAGCAACATTTCTTTGATCTCCGCGCCTGCCTCATGGCCCCACGCACGCCTGTCTAACGGTATGCAATCCAGGGGGTGTTAGCGTTCGGATCGATACATAGACAGCCTGCAGGCTTATAGCTAAGGTGGCTCACCGCCATTCAAATAGACTCACTCTTTTAAACCAACACAATGGCGCTTCTTGCTTATTAGCAACTGTGAGATTGTTGTTGTTTGTTATCCAATTAGTGTCGCCAGTAACAATAGTCAAAACTTACACCATTTGGATACCAGTCAGCAACATTCTGCACACAAACTCTGTGGGTTGGCTTCTTGCACTTTGGACCAAAGGCAAGAGCATTCCCAGCACTGTCAATATGGTAGCGCTTCATCTCATGGCACTTGCCACAATATTTTCTCTTGCAGGTTTCATGCATTCCCTCATGAGCCAGATGGTGGGATTTCAACCACCCACATCCCTTGCAATACTTTCTTGATCTGAAAGCGGCAGCTCTTGTTGTTGGTTTTCTTCTTGTTGTTGGGAGATTGGGCACAGCAACTTGGAATGGTACCCTCAATGCCTGACCATTCACAACAACTGGTGCGCCTGTCACAATATTGCGCACAACCTCAGCATTGAGAGCAGTGGGGTGGCCAAAGGGAGTGACACCTCCTGGTTGTACAATGAAGGTAGGAGGGGCGATAGTGTGGGCAGCAGTTCGTGGCGGTAGTTGTTGTCGATTACTTCGAAATGTGTTGTGGAGTCGATCTCTGTCGGAATCGTTTTCGCGGGGCATTGTTGCTTGTAGTGATCGATATTCCAGCAGTCGATCATGGTGTTCTTGCAGTTGTAGGCAGCTTTTCAGCCGTGGAACAAGGTTGTCTGAATCGCCATTACACCACTGCTTAAATCTCTCTGTCACCATGTCATTCCACCTAGTGGCAAAGACATGATAATTCTTGTGTGCTGGTGTTGAAGAGCGAGTGTAGTTGGAAGACATAAGATCAAAAAGGCGTGCTTCTTCACAGTCAATTTCGGTTGCTGGTGAAGTACTGCTTGGTTGTCGAAAGGGAATCCAGGGCTTCTTGTTGCTGAGTCTCTTAAATGCATCCATTGTTGATTCGCGACCATTCACCTCAGGGAGTAGCTGCCTTAAAGCTTGTTGGATGGCCTCTCTATGTAGTCGATCTGACTCAGCCGCCGCAGCTGCTTGGTCTAACTGGCTCATTTCTTCCTCCACACGCCTATCGGTACGTCTTGGCTCTGTTGCCTGGACAAATTCCTCATCAGTGAAAACGACCTCTATGTCGGCATCCTCACAGGCATCCCGGATCAAGCTTTCGAATTCAGCATTGTCCATACCATCGTCATCACCACCATCCTCGCTGTTCTCATCACTGTCCTCAACCGGTGGTGGATCTAAGCGATAAGTGAACTCCATGAATTCCTCTTGGCTAGTGGTGGGAGCGGAAACATTGGCAATTGGGACTTCATCAAAGCCAACTGCCTGCGCATAAGAATTCAACAAGAGAAGCTTTTCAGTTTGGTAGGTACCATGATCACGTTCACCTAGCCGTTTAATTGCTTTCCTATGATTCCTCATTTCAAAGAAGGTGGTTATGAGACGTTCTGCGCGGTGAAGACCTAATAAATAATTCAAAAAGTGAGACACAATGATACAGTAACGATATGGCACCTTGGCGATGCACTTACCGATATGTGTGCTGCTGGCATGGTCGCCAAATCCAGCAAGTTGTCTCTCTCATTGCTGTTGGTACCCCGCGCGATGTACAGTTTGTTGTCACTTGCATTGAAGCGAAAAATCACAGTTGGATCTGGGTCTGCTAAGCAACCACCATCAATGTGCTTGAACTGTTCCTTGATTCGATCCCGAGTTGCATTGCCAGACTTGAGGAAACGCCGTGGCATTGGACTGGTGTCATTTGCCTGTCTAATGGACAATCGGTGTTCTGTTTCAGCATCCTTTGCTTGGAGATATGCAAGCACAGCCTCCACATTAGATCGAAGAATGTCTGGTGGTGGAATAATTGCCCTTGCTTCTTTTCTGATTTCACCAGGTAGCGGTTCCCTTTTCTTCTTGTTGAGTAGTCGTTGGCGAGCGGCATCGTATTCTTCCTTGGTCACAACAAAACAAGCCTGGCTCATTAATGCACGTACAATCCCCGCTTGTTCCTTGTTGGGTTCCACCAAGCAGTCATTCCATCGCTTGAGCCAGTGAAAGATGTCCAGCTTTATTTGAATTCCGGGGAAGCAACCGCGTAAGATCTTCTTCACTTGACAACAGTTATCCACGTACACAACCTTCACTGCTTGCTCCTGTGGTGTGACAGAAACTTCCACTCCCTTGGACAATCTGTTGTTGCGGTTCAAACTCTCTCTAAGTCTCACCAAATCCGGTTTGATCTCTGAGAAGGATTCAGAGTGCTTGAGAGCCTTCCAGAATACAGTCAAACCATCTTCGTTCTGAATGGTGATGATGCACTTATAGGGGCAGAAGCTTTGTCCCTGCTTGGTCCAAACTCGAATCTTAGATGCGATTTTGTAGTTGAAATCGATCTTAAGCAATGACGCTGTCAAACATTTCATCTTGCTCTCAACAAAGGCCTTTCGATGGTTGAATACAGATGCAACAACCTGGTCGATTCGGTACTTGCTCAATACCCTTGCATTGTATCCTTTCTTGTTGTCAAAGTTTGAGAATTCTGGAAGGCGTGGTGTGTCGGTTGCTTCTTGTTCTTGTTGTCGTGCCTCGGCATGTCTTCGACTTTGGCGCGCAGCTCTGGAATAAGGATTTGCCATCCTTCCTGCTATCCGGTTCCTGTAGTCGTCAAGTTGCTTGGTCACATCAAGGAGAGCGGTGTTAGCATTCTCATAGTCAGCGAGAAGATCCTCCAATTTTGTCTCCAGCTCAGAGAATACTTCTCCACAATAGAAGTCCAATTTGGAATCAAATGCTTGATTGTGTGTAGATTAGGGTCCCTTGGATTTGCTGTCAATAGAGCTTTAGCACTGAGAATGTCATGGGCAATGAGCTTTTGGATCTTTGTTGGACCAAGCCCAGGAATGACATTTTCCTTCCCAACAACATTGTGATTTTTCTTGCTTTTGAGGAGGTCAGTCCAAATGATGTCTTCATTGACCGCTCTCCTTGCCGTCTGCAGTGCATGATCAATGCGGAGCTTGTTGGAACCAGCAAGTGATTTTCGTTGCTGTAAATTTCCTTCTTGGCGATCCGTGGGCTTAGCGGGGGCATAGGAAATCATGGTCTTCTGTTTCTTCTTTGGACGAATCTTCTTTGCCGGTACCGCTGAGAGATATAAGGAATGGTCTGCAAAATATGCTCCGTAGGCACATGCCTTCAACTTCTCGTGAATTCCAGAAGTGCTCTCATTAGTGGCTTCTTCGGTAACATGTCTAAATAACTCGTCATCAACAGCATACCTGTGCCCCAAATAGAAGTTGAAGAAGGATGCGTAAACTTCTGCATCCAATTCCATTGCATTCTTGTTGTACCCAGCAAACGTCTTGTCACAGGCTTTGCATGGATAGAGCATCGTGTCAAGATAGCGGTGTCGCTCCTTCCCGTAGAGAATTTTGGGTGAATTGATCCATTTCGCCTGGTCGACATTGACATAATTGGGACTCTTACAGTGGGGGCATGTTGGGTTGTGGTTCTTTATGATTAGATGTGGAACCCAGCATGCAATACTCTTGACATAAAAGTCCTCCACTTTATCGGTGGCTTTGTTGTCGCGATTCAAAAGATTGCTGTCATGCCGGCCGCTCCGCGGAGAAATGTCTCGCCAGTTCTGCTTTTCGAAAAAGGTCACTGGATTGCTCTTCACGCCATCTCGAACTTCTTGGATGAAAGCACGCTGCGCTGCGCAGTACTGACTACTTGGCTTTGACATGGTCATCAATCGATAGAAGAAAACAACGGCAAATGATTACATCATCGTGGAGAGCAAATTGTGGAGGCAAAATCGCGAGGTAGACAGCATTGGTGAGCGGTTAACTGACACTCTTTTCGCTGTCTAAATCCATTATTTCAGTCTTGACTATTGGGGCAGCTTTGGTATGGAATTAAAAGTAGAGTTCGATAGAGCTAAATGTATATCTGGTAGTGGGTAGACTTAGCGAACAGGACATGGAGATATAGAGGCATGCGATGGGATGACGTAACCAGGACTTCTGACCTCCCCCCTCCTTCTTTTCTCCTCCTGTGCGGGACCTACGGTCCCGCAGACCGGCAAGCCCTCGTAGCTCTGGTACAGTTTCTACGGTGGAAGAAAGAAACCACCAGAATCCACTATAATAGTTGTTTGTGAGTGGACAGATTATTGGATTTTCGATGAGAATCCATTATGAAGATTTAAGGTTTCACATGGATTTTGAGTGCCATTTCCCAGGTTGTATAAGAAGCGAGTTGATTGGAAGTTTTACTCTTCTAGTAGTTACTGTGCAAAATCCACTGTTGGATTTTCAGCTGTTTTCTTGAGTGAGATTTGGTGGGTACCCACTAGTAGTATCGCGATAAACCTACAGATGGATTTTCAGCCGTTTCTTGACCCTTAAGTAATCCAAGGACACAGAAAAAGTGGTTTGAAACTCAGCAAACACGACTCATTCAATGGTCAACTGTACCTCGGCAACAACAACAAAAAGCTGCCGAATTCAAATGCCGCGAGCATGTACTAACATCACGGCGACCATGGCGCTCCTGTTGCCATACTGGTAACTCTTTCCTCGGGCTATTGTCAGGTAGATTACACACAAAGATCTCCCGCCTCACTGTCCGCCTCGAATGTCGGCTGCGATCTCGTCGCTTTTGCAGGTTCCTTTCTCGCGTTGATCTGGATGCTTGGCCTGTCGATCCTTGTTAAATCGTGCTCCCTTGGCTTCGCCGCGGGAACACGATTGAACTCGGATCTTCAGTTTCCCGAAAGATTTTTCTACAATAGCTACTACCTGGTAGCTAGTCTAGAGAAGTCGGATTTTCTCAAAACAAACTTATTGGATAGGCAAAAGCTACCACTGTAAAACACAGCATAATGCAACCATCGTTGACTGCACGAACGAAGCTTCTTGGTATTGGCTGGGAGCCTTGGGGCTCATAAAAGGTGAGGGCATAACCAGCCATAAGGGGGCTCAACATCGCAAGGTTCAAACATTATGACAGTCCCAACATTGCCGGAGGCTGCAGAGAGAAGCTCAGCTCGCTGTCTGACTTGTCACAGTCGGACTCGTCATCGAGGAAAGGGTCGCTGCTCAAGCTGGGAAAGAGAGGACAGCTGTCCAACCGGGCTCTGTGGGTGATATGTGAATCGTTGGCGGGAGGTGTAGAATGAACCCGCGGCCTCAATTGGACGGATACACGACAGGGAGAAGAATCATCTGATAGATCCGACGTAGAAGGGAAAATTGGGACACGCAGACTAGATTGAGCGATCGAAGAATCGTATGGCTCTGTGCTGAAGAAGGCGCATGGCTCCGCTTTTCGAGGTGGGGGTGGAGGGAGGATCGTTGCTCCTACTAGGCATCGCGACGGCCTTTGAGGAGTCTGAAAGACGCTCGTTTCCCTTGTTGTTCTTGGCATTTTTCTCGCAGGTCAACACAAAATAATATGAGCTTTCAGGTTGCCCTCATTCCAGAAGACTTCGAACCAACTTCGAGGTGGGTTCTTGAAGCTGTTCTTGATTAATCCCACAAAATGGACGTATTTGATCACGGGAGGGGAGAGGCTGGCGTTCCCAAGATTGCCAGGATCGGCAGTTTCATCGACGGTGCTCGGTGTTGAAGGGGTACCGGTACCAGGTGGTACCAGTACGTACGGGTACCGGCACCGGTGCTTCTTTGTAACAGCACCAAACCGATGGTTCTGTGGTACTGGTACCGGTGCCTGGTACCGGTAAAAGTGCTCTTGGTACACCGCACTCTCAAGTTGCGGCCCTCTCACTCTTGTGGATCATACTGTAGCACTTCAACACTGATTGCTTCATACAGACTGCGGCTGCTGGTCCAGCAAAGATCATGGAACGCCAACTTTGGAGCTGGCTGGACGGTCGGTATCCAGCTAGCTAGCTAGCTACTAGTACATGTACCGGTATTGCACTTGGCGGGCTCTGAATAATTCAATGACATCTATCTTGGAACGGAGCAGAACCGGTACTCATACGGTTACTTTGTACCAGTAACATTGGAGTGGTACAAATAGATCATACTCGAGTACGATTTTAGCTACCAGTAGTAGAGCTGGTGCGAGCAAAGAGTGACTGGAACTACTAGTAGTGATTTTTCTGTTCACTCGTCACAACCTGCTAAAACGACGGCTAGGCTCTGGACAAAAAGATCCCACCACCTGTACAGCACCTGTTGGTAGCGCGCACCATGATAGTTGCCAATCCCCATTCCTTTGCTGCGCCGTCAAGGATGTCTCCTCGCGCTTCAAGGATCGTTTTGCATTAAATTTTCTAGTAATGGTGCCTTGATTGCTTCGTTGTCGATTGAATCTTCAACACTCAAACTCGCAAAAACCAAAACATTCGTAGCTCTGCTCATATCTCGCTTCGAACCATGATGTACATCGTGGTGACGACGGGCTCTCCCTAATTTGCTGGAGGCGGCTCTCATGCATGGCTGGCCCCAAATTCTTTCACGAGCATGCAGCAGGCCAGCTCATGCATGCAGCCAAGTGAATCCATGTGAGCAGGTGACTCGTCACTCCCACGTGGCTCCCACGCGAGTGCTCAGTTGCGAAAAATTTCCACGCTACTGTCATTCAAGAGCAGTATTTCCACGGTTGCTCCGACCGAACACTGATGCACATCGCCCGAAATAGGAGAGCCAAGCAACGATGTCGGAAGACCATGACCTTTGTACCATTTCTCTTGAGCGTTTCTCACCTGACCTAGAAAGCCCCTTGTGTCCTGTTGTCGGGGAATGTGGTCACTCATTGTCAAGGGAAGGGATCCAGTTCTGGTTCTCGGGTAGGCAGACCGACGAATACCACAAGAGGAAAAAATGCATCCCCTGCGTTTTCAAGTGTACCAAAAAATGGGTCAGCAGGAAGGGCAAGAAGATGGAGGAACAAATAAAGGCCTTCCGACCTGAGAATCTTGTTCCCAATGTCGTTCTCTGTGAGGCCCTGAAAGCTATTCAAAAACGAAAGGCCGGCGAGCCATTGGGGTTAGTGGAATTTGACAGATGCCCAAGCTGCAAGATGGAGTTTTCCACGGCGCCGCCATCAGGTGGACTGCAGCATGATCCAAAAGCCCCTATTGCTGGTGTATGTGGCGATACAATCTGTGCTTCCTGTATCTATGACCAGCACCAGACTGCAATGCAAAACTCCTACTGCGACAATCTGAAATATATCAAGTGCCCTCTCTGCAGCACCAAAGGGGCGTTCCATGCGGACCACCTAGCCGAGAACAGGAGCCTCATCAGCTCGTTGCGTTATTGGAAGGAACTTCCAATTGACGATCGCAATGACTATAAGCCGTCCTACGAAAAGAAATCCCAGGAGCAACATGCACTATCTTTGCAGCTTTTGCACAGCCAGCCCCCGGAGCACTTCAACGAATTGTGCGAGCAGAAACTTAAGGATCTGATTACCTTGGAGGGAAAAGCTTCCCAGTACAGCGCCCTTACTCCAACTCAGGAGAATTCAGAGGGGGCATTGCGGAAACACGAGAGAAATGACGATGTGCCGAGTCAGCCAAAACAACTGAAGCGTCCAAAGCCATTAAATCCTCCAAGACAACACGAGCGGGCACTAGAATTAACCCGGGAAACCTTGCAAATGCCCAGTGCATATTATGCCATTCTTCCCGCTGCTGTGCCTCGTGCCAATGTAGGTGGCACAGGTACTGGTTCAGGAGCCAGCAATTGTGGAACAAAGAAGGTTCAAGTGGAAGATGCATTGCTGTATTTGGACAATGTGAGGAGAACTTTTCATAGCCGCCCTGAAGTTTACAATGATTTCCTGTCCATCATGAAGAACTTCAATCGTCAAATTGTGGACACTCCTGGAGTGATTGATCAGGTGATCAGACTTTTTCATGGAAACAACAATCTCATTCTAGGATTCAACAAGTTCGTGCCAGATGGACATGAGATCAGTGTTGAGGATCTTAATACAAGTCCAGGAGCTGCAAAGACTCAAGCAGTAGGACATCGGGTTGCTCGGAATTTTGATGATGCCTTATCCTATACCACAACAATCAAGACGAGGTTTGCCAACAATCCCAAAACATTCCATTCATTCCTGAAAATCCTTGGCGCATACCAAAAGCAACAACATGGAATCAAGCAAGTCATGGAAGAAGTGATTGCTCTGTTTTCAGATCACCCTGATCTTATCAAGGAGTTTGCATTTTTTCTCCCAGCCACTGTTCATGAGCAAGCAAAGGAAAGGCTCTACCATGCTGCTGCAGAATCTGAGACTCGACTGGGTGCTGAGCAAGCCAATAAGGAATGGGGACGAGCTGCTCGAAAGGATACCCTTATCAAACAGGGGGCCACTGAACAAGGTGACAACAACATCAATCAGGGCAAAACTTCTGGCAGTGAAATTGAATGTTCTGCTGCGGTCACCAGGCGAGCAAGGCTGACAACTGAAGCAGCTGTGGCCGAGGAATCGGATAGCAGCAGCGAGGAGGAGGTTGTTTTTGTTGAGGTCAGAACTCCAGAGGTTGTTTTTCTTGGGGTAAAGCCTGCAAAGACTACCAGAACTGCTGTCGAGGCACGGTGGGGATATGATGCTATACCGTACCCATAAACTGGGGAGGATGTGCTTAAGCGTTTGCGATGTCCAGAGCAAGTGCATTCGACTTCATTGACCCAGCCGGGAGCTATTGTAACTAACTCAGCAGTAAGCCTTGCAAGTTGCTTCGAGTTACCCTTATATCTAAAGGAATCAATGGGCAAAGTTAGCAATCAAACTACTATAGCCAACAAGAGGAAATAGTATGTAGACCTAATGGGCGGTGCCCTCTTGTTGCCACCGAATGCTCTCGCTATTACCTCTGCATGTCACATCTTGCTTTTCCAAAAGACCACCAAACCAACAACATAGCCAATGGGAGAGATGGCTTCTTCACTAACTAAGAAGATTGCAACCCCCAATGGAGGACCACAGACTCCACGGCACGGACGGTTTCCACGTCCTTCTGCACGCAATCTAAAAATGCTACAAAAGGAATCGAATCAATCGAATCGAATCATTTTCATTCTTTTTAATTTTAAGTTTTTAATTTGCGAAAAAACGCCAACCTTCCCAGACAGCGAGCGCTGACAAGCGGCGCTCGCCTAGAGCAGCACTGCACGACTAGTAGAGTAGTAGGTTAGGGTGGTGGAGAGACTCGGCCATTTACTGAGCCGACCGTCTCCGCAACCCAAGCGGTGCCGTTCGTGATTGCTAGAATCGTGAGCGGGAACCATGGCACGAATGAGGCAGTCCCGTGGAATTGGAGTCCCGCGTGATTGTGCGACATTCGGCCAACCCAGGGAGGGAGAGGTGGGTTAATCTATTCTAGTTCTTGCTTGCAGCTCGGCTGAAGGAAGAATTGTGAGCAGAGAAGGAGACAACCTTCTTGCGATCGACTGTTCAATGGCTGAAGGAGAGAGTTGGACCGGTCTTGCGTGTTGTGTTCATTCAAGGTTTCTTGCTGTGAGCGGTCTTCGAGGGGTGCTATTGCCTTAGAGTTGATCTTTCGAAAGAGGCAGACATAGCGACATGTATGTGGGGTATCCATTTCAGGAACGCAGGTGATGACCTGAGAGATGTAGAGATGTACTTGATGTGTAGGGGCGAAGTGTGGGAATCGATTTGTATTTTATGATATGGTACCAGTCTAGAAACTGTGAGTCGAGTCATTCATCGAAGAACCCATGAGGGTTCAGGTTTCCACGCCGGTTAGCGTGGACGGATAGGGATCAGGATCATTGTCCTCTTTGGCGTGCGGCTGCTCGACAACGAGCGCCGACAAGCGGCACTCGCCTAGAGCAGCACTGCACGACTAGTAGAGTAGAGTTGGGTGGTGGAGAGACTCGGCCATTTACTGAGCGACCGTCTCCGCACCCAGGGGTGCCGTCGTGATTGCTAGAATCGCGAGCGGGAACCAAGGCACGAATGAGGTAGTCCCGTGGGATTGGAGTCCCGCGTGATGTGCGACATTCGGCAACCCAAATAGCCAAAGGAGAACAGGGTGGGAGCGTAGCGGGGTGGAAAGTTTGGAGAGACGAGAGGAGGCAAGGTCTCTCTGGGAGTTTGGACTAAGGGAGTTAGTCCTCGTAGAGTTCCGCGTGGAAGAGGATCTCTGCGATAGTAGCAGGCGCCTGACAGGCGGGAGGAACTTGTCGTAGGCTCCAGCCTGGAGGTGTAGGCACCATGGGCCAGCATTTTCTGGGAGTAGTGGTGCATGATGGTGGAGGCGTGGATTCGAAGGTAGCGCAGCATGGCATCTGACTTCCATCGACTGAGGAGGCGGATGGCATCAGAGTCGACATGGGCGCAGAGGAGAGTAGTGGCGCCGCCCGGACGGAGGGATCGAGCAGAGACTTTCTTGTGGGAGATTCCGGTGGTCTTTTCGAGCTGCTTAGTGGCAGCGCGAAGTGCATCGGTGATGAACTTGGGTTTGACGTGGTACCACTTTTGTGGACGGAGTTGTAGTGTTTGTAGAGTGGAGTTTTGGATCGCTCAGCCTCTGGAGTGGTGAGGGCGATGTGAGTAGTGCAGATGTGTCGGACGAGACGGGCGAGAGATTTGACAGGACAGAGCCAAGGGTCAGCGGTGGCCCGGTGACCCGGTGACCCACTGACTCGCCTTTGACGACGTTCTTTTGGTCGGTGAATGTCAGCGAAGCCGCGGTGAGGCGACTAGGGTCAGACACGTCATTCAAAGAGATTTTGTAAGCGGTGACTTAGAGGCGACCAGCGATGGTGAAGGTGATGTCTTCAAGTAGAAAGGCCTGGCTGCGGGCCTCAGGGTTGTTGGTGTCGAGGTACTCAGCCGGTCGGAGCAGCCAAAAGAAGGCGCATATGCAGAGGTCCCGAGTGTGTTGCTTGACGGTCCCACGGATGGGGTCAACGTAGTTGAGGACGGAGAGCATGGATCGGAGGATGGAAATGTTGGCAGGGTAGGCCTGGTCTGGAGGTCCATCGGCATCGTGGAGTTCTTTGTAGTAATTAGTGAGTAAGGGATGGAGCTTTCTGTCCGTGCCGAGTCTGGGATCAGGCTGACCCAGGTTGGAGATCCCCTCGCCGACGGTGTGAAGGGCTGTGACCACATTTGACCACAGTGTCAGCTCAGACAGAGTTCGACACGCGGTAGTTGTGGGCGAAGGTGAGGAGGTAGCAGATACGGACCTCGGGCTCAGAGATATCACGGAGGGTTTCGTGGACGTTGTGGAGGTCGCAGAAGGCACACCAACGGCCGAAGGTTCGGTTTCGGGCCTGGGCGGTCTTGGAGACGATCCTTTTGGAGGCGACTTGCAGCGGAGAGTAGATTGGAAACGACGTCGGGTGGCAGCGTCAACACCTTCTAGGGTAGCTGCTGCGGATAGTTCTGCTCAAAGTGGGACAGAAGTTCAGGCAGGGTGAGATGTTATAGGCGAGAGGTGTCGTCAGCCATGACGTTCGCTGGTCCTGGGATGTAGGACGCGAGAGGGCAATATCGGTGTTTCCGTTGGTGGTGACAGGCATAGTTGCAGGAGGAAGGTGGCGGGCCCGTCTGCGGATACGGCCCCTTTTGGCCGCGACACGAGAGACCGCCGGGGTGTTGTCAGACAGAGTGTAGAGAGTCGCGTAGCGGACGTCGTGATGGTCGGCGAGAAGGGCTTGCTGAGCCAGGATGCCAGCATGCTCGAGATCACTGTTGGCTGGTGATGGATCCGGAGAGGTTTGCAACTGAGACCAGGTCTTGTTGGATGTCCGCTGGGAAGGGCTCGCGCCAGAGGTAACCTTGTCCGGTGGAGTCGAAGTAGACACTGCCCATACTGGCCTTGGCGGCGTCCGTGGCCCCAAAGTAGGACGGGTCCTGGGGGACAATCTCCGCGAGGTGTGTGGGCCTGTGGCAGAGACTGGCAGCCAGGTTAGCGAAGGCATCAATATGATGACGGAGAGCCGATGTGATGCAGATGCTGTTTCCATTCGCCTTAGACAGGGCGAGTTGGAGTGTGCTGAAGAGGCCTGCAGAGCCTCGGATGGCTACAGAGACGAATCGTAGTTTCCCCAGGATTTGCATCCAGTGTTTGTTGCTGACGCGTTTGCAGGCGGCTAACTCTTGGAAGATGGACGCAAGAGCCTCCTTCCGGTGGGGAGGTAGTTCGAGAGTTTGGCGAAGGGTGTCGATGATCCAGCCGAGGATGAGTTTTTGGGTGGCCCAGCTGCCGTCGCCTTTGAGGAGTTTCTTCAAGGAGACAGCTTCGTTGTGATGCTTTTCATCGAGGTTGGGACGAGCGAGGATCTCGTCGATGGCATGGAGAGGGTGGCGACGAAGGACGTTCATGCGGTTTCGCCCTCCTTGTCCCAGTTGGATGAAGTCATCCACGAAGACGTCGTTCCGGCCTAGTGGCTGGACGGTTGTAGACTCGGTTGGAGGTTCCGGCGATGTCGTCATCAGTGGCAGGTTCGAGAGGCTCTGTGGCGATGTTGAGAAGGGCCTGAGTGGCGGATTTGTCTTCTGCGTCGTGAGGTCGTGGTGTCATGGACGGGTCAAGGTCGTCATGACGAGAGGCCGGTTCTTCGAGGCAGTGCGGCGGACAGGCACGCGGAGAGTGAGAGAATAAAGTGTTGCCTCGGTCGCAGGCTGTCTCGGACATTCCGCTGAATGTGGGAGGGGATTGGACCCACCCCATAGTGGAAGACATCGGGATGGCTACCAGTTGGGGTTCTCCTTCGTATCGGGGAAGGACGAATCACCGGACCGAACTTGGGATTTTCGTGGCGGACATCGTAGAGGAGTCGAGGAAGAGCTCCGCCAAACTGCATGGCTTCAGGGGGAGCGTGATGAACGGTCGTTTGGTTCATGGATGGCCATCCCCAGTCCCAAGAGTGGTCACTGATGAGACAAGGTTTTCGGTCGCGCTCTTCCTTGACCGCGGTGGCGGACAGGAGCAAAGAGGGTTCATCTTTGACAAGGTCGTAGGGTAGGACCACCCAGAACTTGTTGGTGATGAATTTGGAGAATTCCTCTCGGAGGAAGGCAGAGTGCTCGGTGGCAGACTTGTGGCACCCGCGGCGGATGCATTCCTCCTTCTGCTCGACGGTCCAAGGAGGGGAGTTGTTGTTGACGGGAACTCCGTGGTCACGCCATTCGGTGAGTAAGGGTATGGCTGGATGATCAACTTGTTCCAGTTCGGGGGAGAGGTAGGATCTACCTCGGAGAAATGTGACGAAGGATTTCCAGGACTCAGCTTGGGAGTAGTCGTGACATAATTGCTAGACGATCATTTCGGACGGATCTGGTATCAACGGGAGTGCAAGTAGGTTTAGTTGTTTGTTGGGGGCGCGATTTTGATGGTGAAGGACGTTTCGCCGGGGGCGAGTTGGCGAAGTGTAAGGAGCGCTTTGTAGGAGATGGAGTAGTGGCGGTGTTGTTGTGTGTGAATGAAGAGTGCGTAGAGGTGTTTAAGGAGAGGACAGGAGTGCTCCGGCGGTTGCGACCAGACGGAGGGACATCAAGGCTACTGGGAAGAGGAGAGCCGAACTGCCTTCGGTTGACAGGGGCGACGGTGAATGGTTGGGTGGTTCCCACCTTCACCGTGGTCCCAGGCGTGGATACTCAAGCCTGAACTCTGGCCACTCCGCAGGTGGACAGGAGTTCATGGAGCTTGTTGTTCGTCACTGTAGGGTAGCGTTTGTGCATGGCAGATCGCTTGCAGGACAATATGCAACTTCCTTTGAGAGCCCAGGCCAGGCAGACATCCTGTCCTCCGTGCTGGGGGATGACGATGTCATGTCCGCGGGTCATCTCTCCAATGGAGCGGTGACCTGAGGATTGGAATCGCTTGATTTGGTTGCTGTCACCGTGGGCGTTGGTGACACTGTGGGCTCCGGCCTTCTGTTGATGATTGCCGGCGGGCTTGTCATGCGACAAAGGAGGGGGAAGAG